TCCCATGGTGCACCGTCCCACGGCGCATGGGAAGCTCTCGTCTAGACTCCAGCTTATGTGAGGGCCTGTTCTGTATCAACATAAGCAGCAAAAACAACTCTTCTTTGCAAAGGTATCATCATCAGAAAGGTATGGGCAGTTCGGACCACACCAGGTGACACTCTGGGAAGTGACGCCACTGGTCCTCAAATATCTGCCTTTTGGCAGAAATGGGCTTTGTGCCTTTAAAATGCTGAAAAGAGGGAGTGCGTGGGGTGAGACTCAGTAGGAAAGGAAAGGAAAGTCCCCAGGTTATTTTTTTTTAATGAAATGTTAATTGTTTAAAAATGTAAGAAATATATTTTAAAAAATTAATTGGATAGCAAAAAAGACAAACAAATGAGTACTGGAACAGATCAAGCCTGAAATGTCTCTAGAAGCCAAGTTGACCAAATTGACGCTGTCATATTTTGGCCACATGAGAAGGCATGACTCACTAGAAAAGACAATAATGCTAGGAAAGGTGGAGGACAGCAGAAAGAGAGAAAGACTGCATTGTAGATGGAGAGACTCAATCAAGGAAGCCACAGCTCTGAGCTTGCAAGACCTGAGCAGAGCAGCTTAGGGGGTCTTGGAAGTGTCTTATCCACAGGGTCACCATGTGTTGAGGTTGACTTGAAGGCTGATAACAACAGCAATAAAAATTCATCTCTTTCTTTTAATTGTTGTGAGTCCCAGACTGTGAGAAAAGTGGGATATAAATAAATATTGTAATATATATATAATACACTATCTGGTGAATGGCAGACCTGCCAGAAAAGTTAACCACCACCAAATGAACAATAAAGAGTACCTTTGCTTTCTTTCATTTACTACTTGTGTCCATACAATGACCTAACTCTATCAAAACCCATAACATGTAGGAACCTAACAGTTAGCATGGAAACCTTGGACCTTGGGATATAATGAAAAATAAACAAGAATGTAACTCTGGACTTTTTCACATGGCTAATAAAGCGTTTTACCTGAATCGAATTTAATTTTAAATCGGGCTGCATCCGGACCCTATCACAAAGATTTTGCTGCTGAAATCGTCGCCCGAATGTAGGGTGGGTCCATCCCAGCTTCCAGGAGCACTCCAGTGTCCATTTTTCAAGCCGGAAAACTCGGTTTTGAAAAGGGGCACCTGGGAGAAGGGATGGACCCGGGCTGCATTCGAGCAGCGATTTCAGTGGCAAAATCTTTTATGATAAAGTCCAGATGCAGCCCGATTTAAAATTAAATTTGATTCATGTAAAACACTTTATTTTACCTATGTGATAAGCCTCTATGCTGACTCTAGCCAGAAAGTAAAGATGATTTTATCATCAATGAATATAAAGGCATCCCAAGGCACTATCTATGCTCAGGGCATAGTTTTTTCAAGTATCCTGCACCCAAAACTGTGAGTCTTTTCAAGAACACAAGGAAAATCTGCAGGAATTATGATGCAAATCTCCCTGGGCAAGAAGGAAGAGACAAGCTTTTTACATGGATAGCCACAGCACTTTTCCTAATCAATTTTCTTCAAGCACTTCAAAACACGGCATCTCTATCTCTCTCTCTTGATAAGTGGACTCCTTTTCTCAAGCATTTCAAGGACATCATAATAACCAGACCTTCTGTGTTCAATAACAGGTTCACTGAAGTCACACTTGTGCTGTGAACTACTTTGCCTCCTGTGGTGTCGCATAATAAACTGATTTGACAAAAAGGGTATTTTTCTATCTGAACATTAATGTTGGTTTTAATGAATCCTTTATTACTGGAACAATCCCCCCCATAAAACATCATACAAAAAACGGCCATAAAATTACAAACAAAAGCTAGTGTTTTGTTCCCAACCAACCAAGTGGATGGGACTGAGTGCATGAAGCCCTTCACATTTATGATTTTGAAAAGGTATAGAACACGTTTCATCCAACCAAAGTGCATTTTATATTTCTTTTATTTCAAGTGTGTTGCATTACATTTGCATTTGGACTAAATTAATTCAGGCAGCATGGTACAAAAAATAACTGAAGCCACATCTTATATCTAAAATGTAGACGAGGTCATGAATAACATAGTCTTTTACCTCCATCCATTTTACCATCCAGCTTTTGCCTGAATGAAGAAACCAGTGAAGCTTGAAAGGCTAGCATGAGCCATTTTGCACCTCTTGACTGATCCACTAAAGTTATTGCTTCGAAATGGATTTTGAATTGTGTTGCTTTTTTATGCATGGCCAATACAACAAAACAAAAACATTTTATTTCTTATACTGAGCATGCTTGAACTAGAATCCAAACTGGTAGGCAAATGATTGTCATTGAAGGATCCAAAGTACACTTAAGACAACGGAGTGTTGTCCAATATAAGGGCATATCAAGATGACAGCTGTCTGTATTCCAAATTAACTGGGTTTGCACCAAGATGGATTTTCAGACAAGATCCCTTCAAATTAGCATCTTCAATTAAAGAGATATGTGCCTAATAACACACATACACACACACACAGTTAGTCATTAATGCCCAGTTTAGTATCATATCTACTTTGACTCAGAACTCAAAAAGGTTACTTTTTTGGACTAAAACTCCCATAATCCCTCACCCACCATGGACAATGGTAAGAAAAAGGCAAAAATCTCAAAGTAATGATTGCAAGCCTTAATTTGAGCCTGAGATGGAAGTGATGCAATCCAGTGCTGCTTATGCTATCCAATGTGAGAGCCCAGCTATTACTATTTTTAATGGAATAGGGACCATCACCATATCTGTGTCCATTGGGCAAAATCGTTTCTTTCTTTCTTGATAACTCTCCAGAGATCATCAGCAGATGGCTTGGGGACTGGCACCGATCCACGAACCACCACTTTGAGGGGCAATGAAGTAACCATTCTCTTCCTTTTTCCAGAAATCAGTAGCCCATCAGGAATTTGCTGTGTGGTGCTCCTGAAATCATGCATAAGCAGAGGAACAGTGCTGACCATAAGACAAATTCCAAAGTCCCTGTTATGGTAATACATTCACTAGGCCAAACAAAAAACATATAATTTGTTTCAGTTTGGTGTAATGAATTTTGTGCCTTTTGGTTGGCCTAATAAAGGTTTGTTGTTGCTGTGTGCCTTCAAGTATTCCAATTTATGGCGACCCTAAGGCAAACTTATCATGGTCTTTTTTTTTTAAAGCAAATTTCTTCAGAGGGGGTTTGCCTTTGCTATCCTCTGAGGCTGAGAGAGTGTGACTTGCCCAAGGTCACCCAGTGGGTTTCATGGCTAAGCAGGGATTCATACCCTAGTCTCCAGAGTCATAGTCCAACACTCAAACCACTATGCCATACTGGCTCTTTCTAATAAAGGTATATTACCTTGATATGGATGTAGGAATTTGCTGCATGATGCTTGCTTTAATCTGCTTGCCTACCTATTGCTAGCCTGAAATTTCCAGGAAGGAAAGCATCCCAAAGCCAAATCAAATTATAATAGTCCATCATGCAAACAGCTATGGGGAGCTTCATTCTGAAACAGCTATATCCCATACTAGGGTCTGATTCACTGATGTGCTGCATCCACTCCTTCCCTAAATGAAGATGTAAAACCGTGAACACAGGGAGGGCCCACATCTCAGATCCTGGCACCTCCTCTCTGGCCATCAGGATGATCAGAGGAAATCTCAAGGCAAGAGCATTGTCCTGAAAGGTGTGTGTATGTGTGTGAGTTCTTCTTTGTTCGACTTCTTTTTTCTTTGGCTAATCTGTGCTGAAAAACTACTTGATGCTTAATTTATCATGCTTAATGATACTACAACATCAAGAGGAACTGCCTCCCGTGACATCTCCAGCAGCCATACCCACATTTCACATTTTGGCCCTGGGGTGGTACTAACCTGCCAACTCATATACATAGTACCATATGCTTCTTTTGAATGCTTATCTGTACCCACCTAGGGAACCATCTTGGTCAGGGGTAGGCAACCTTTCCCCTTTAAGGGCCGAGGGACTTCAGCTCCCAGAATCCCAGGAGCTATTGGCCAACATAGGACTATTGACCAACACGGCTGAGGCTTCTGGGAGCTGAAGTCCCTCGGCCCTTAAAGGGGAAAGGTTGCCTACCTCTGATCTTGGTTGAACAAAACATGTTCACAAGACCAACATTTCTGCTTAGAAAGGATCTGCTTGAAAAAGATACATTTTTGGAATACAACTCCCAAATTGTGAGAACTGAGCTCCAAATAAGGATTGCTATTTTTCTGACAGAATAAATGACTGTGATTATAGTGCCATCTTGTTGTGCTTGTAAACTTGGTAGAAGAATCTTACCTAGGATTAGTCTACACGTAATTGTACTATGCAAATTGGTGCTCATTTTCACAAATTTGCATTTACGGTTAACTGTCTTTACTTTCCTATGCAAATGCGCACCTATTTACATCTATTTATGTGCAACCATCCTTACACATGCAAAGTAGACAGATGGCCACACAATGCAATACATTGATTGGAATGTATCACATTGGTATCCACATTGTGAATAGCACATTGGAATCCACACATTGATTGGAATAGAGGGGTATAACCTTTTAAAGAAAAAATTGGCAAACAGACAGTGGGGAGGAGTAGCATTATATTATATGTCAAGAATGTTTACACCTGTGAAGAGATCCATGACTTGAAATCTGGAAGCCAGGTGGAGAGCATCTGGATAAAAATTAAAGGGGAGGGGAACAACAGAGATGTTATTGTGGGAGTCTAATATAGACCCCAAGTTAGAGTAAAGAATTGGATGGTGCCTTTCTAGAACAGATGACCACACATTCAGAAAGGAGAGATGTAGTAGTGATGGGTGATTTCAACTATCCTGATATTTGCTGGAAGTCAAACTCAGCCAATACTTCAAGGTCTAGCAAATTCCTTACTTGCCTAGAAGACAATTTTTTGTCCAAAAGGTGGAAGAGGCAACAAGGGGATCAGCTATTTTCGATCTGATCCTAAACAACAGGGATGATCTGGTTAATGGGGTGCAAGTGGTGGGATCCTTAGGTGGGAGTGATCATGTTCTCCTGGAGTTTGTTATATAGTGGAAAGGGGAAGCCAAGCATAGTTAGACACACATTCTAGACTTTAGGAGAGCTGATTTTAGTAAACTTAGGGAAATACTGGGTGTGATCCCTAGGTCAAGAACAGTAAAAGTTAAGGGAGGTCAGGACATATGGGAGTTTCTTTAAAAGAAGATATTGAAGGCACAATTTCAAGTAGTTCCAAAGGAGAGGGAAAATGGGAGATGTCTCAAGAAACCAGGATGGATGACTAAAGAACTTTCAAATGAACTAAATTTTTTAAAAAGACATGTATAAGAAATGCAAAAAGAGGTTAAGGGGTGATATGATAGCCCTGTTTAAATATTTAAAGGGATGCCATACTAAAGATGGAGGAAGTTTGTTTTCTGCAGCTCCAGAGAATACGACCCAGAGCAATGGATTCAAAGTGCAAGAAAAGAGATTCCACCTCAGCATCTGTGAGGAACTTCCTGACAGTAAGAGCTGTTTGGCAGTGGAAGACGCTCCCTCTGAAAGTGGCGGAGTCTCCTTCTTGGAGGTTTTTAAAAAGAGGCTGGATGGCCATCTGTCAGGGTTACTTTGATTGTGTATTCCTGCATGGCAGGGGATGGGACTGCATGGCCCTTGAGGTCGCTTCCAACTCTATGATTCTATGATAATACGCAGTTCTGAGGATGTCAGCGGATACTCTGGTAAAAAACGCGATGCCTTTTTCCATGGAGTTCAAGGAGGTTTGTGGGGAGCAAAAAGCTCGAACTCCTGCCAATCATGTTTAGCAGGATCACATTCTATTTGACTGGAATGAGGAGTGCAGTATTTTAAACATGAAGGCTAGTCCCTAGGTAACCTCTTTCGAAAAAGGACAATGAACAAGATAGATGTTTAAGTCTAATCCAACAATATAATTATTATACAACAAGGGTAGGGCACCTCTTTTAGCTTGGAGGCAGAATTCAGTCTCAGTGAAGTGTATAGGGACCGTATTCTAGAGGTGGACTGGACCAAGTGCAAAAAGATCCAAAATATTAGCATTTAAATATGACTTGGTTTATTTATGTAAAATATCCTGTCCTGCCTGTACAATGTAAGAAAGCCTTCAAGATCAAGATAGTGTACACAAAAATAGTTTTTTAAAAGAACAAGTACCAGTAGTAGATGAATAAGCAGCTATAACCCACAGCCCTTAATTCCTTTTAAGAAGTCTTGCAAACTGCATACAAGTGAGCAGGTTAGGGAAGAGGGAAGGAGTTCCATATCAGTGGCACCATTATGGAAAACTCCACTCTTCAGTAGCCACTGGCTTAATCCCCAAAGCTGGCTGTTGAGGGCTGCATAAAATGCTGGGTGGCACCAAAATACCCCCTTTCCTTCATCTCACCACCTTTTCTGCTTTTGTTACAGAGTGCTGTGGAGGGGAGAGATTACTCATGACAAAATCTGAATTGATCATACTCTGAAATTTAGCTGGGCATCACAGGCAGCTCTCTCCAATTTTATTTAGCTAGGCATATGGCTACTATCTCAAAAGTTAGATCCTGAAAATCAAGGACTTTAGAAAGCATGAGCCAATAGATGTGATGCATTTAAAACTGGATGGCAAAGCAGATTATACAACCTTTTGGATATCATTGAACTGCAGCTCCCATCAGCCAAGGCCAGCATTGCTCATGGAAAAGAATGCTGGTAGCTGAAGTCCAACAACACGTGAAGGGCTGCATGAGTTTCCTCCTGATCTAAGGAGATGCTTCCCACAGTTTCTAGAAGATATATGACTCTATGAACAAGCAGAGGAGCTGCGACGGCTGAGGAAATCATGATAGGACTGAGATCTCAAATTCATACTTGACATATCTTTCCATACTATGCAAAGTTCTATAAAGTGCGAACTTCCATCAAATACAGCTTCTTTCATTATCTCACCATTAAAATGGACTACAAAAGCCCTAGCTAAAAATAATTCTCCCTTGTATACTGTTGCCTTTAGGGAGCTGGGAGGTCCAAGAGACAGTGGGAGAGCAACATTTTGAAAATAGTTTGAGCTTCTTTAGGTTGTATGTTTTCACTAATGTCTGCAATGCACTTTGAATACAAACCATGTTTGCAGAACTAGCTTTTGTAACTTATAAAGCAGAGTTTTTAATCTGTGGCTTCCTGGATGTAAAAGACATGCAAATTAGAAAGTCAGAAATGGAAATAACAGAAGATTGGCTTTTTAAAAATTTAGTTTTTCATGTATTTATAAGACACTTGTTTTACTCTGGAAAAAAAATGAAGTGGGTGTTCTTCAGTAAAGTACGTTTAGAAATAAATGGCAAAATTAGTATTCTGGTGGGGAATGGAGTCCTGAGGACTGATAGCAGAAAAGTATCCTTTGATGTTTTATTTAAATTTTTTGCTCAATAATTCAGTAAAGAGATCCATTATAATCATGAAATAGTAAAAATGTGCAATGAATACAATAAAAATAAAAAGTACAAGGAACTAGTACACATTAAATTTATGTTTATATTTCAGGAACTGTTTCTCTCTACATTTGCAAACAGCGTGATCCGTTTTACACCCACCATCAATGTGGGAGGTGCATGTATTTGGCCCAATTTCTTAACTCTGGAGCAACCAAAGCATGCAAAGGAAATGTCGCGCAATGTTTTTGTTAAATGAAGTGAGATCCTGTTGTGAGCAGTTCTGCACAAGGTAATTATCTAGGTAATTATCTATCGTAATTCCAGAAGGAGTCCAATTTCTCCAATTTCTTTTTATGTTGTTGGGTTGTCTGACCGTTGATCAACATCATTAGTTTGTCCATTTGGACTACCTCCTTCAATCTTATTTTCCAATCTATTGATGGAATTTCCTTTCCCCCCCTCAATACTTGGCATAGGTTATGCGTGCCGCAGTGATCAAATGTATTTATTTCTTCTTGGTTGAGGTGATCTTCCAAGTCATCTGTTATATATCATCTGGGTTCATCCTAAGATCTTTTTGTAGTATTGCTATTATATTTTTGTGGATTTCTTTCCAAAAATTTCTTAGCTGTTTTGCATAATCACCACATGTGGTAGAACATACCATTAGGTTTTCTACATTTCCAGCAATTATCTCTATTATTATTATAAATTTTTGCACGTTTCGAAGGGGATACATAACATCTGTAGAATAGTTTGTAAAAGTTTCCTTTAAGGTTATTGCATTTGGTAAATTTTATATTGCATTTCCATGTTTTTCCCCAACTTGTTATGGATATTTGCTTTCCTATATTTTGCATCCATTTTATCATGTTTCCTTTGAT